CTGGTTAATGGTGGCAGAGTTGTAGCATTTCTATTTTCCCTTCTGTAAGGCAGTTTGAAAATAAAGAGAAAGAGAAACAAAAGAAATAGAGTGTTTGATAACTTATCAAACCTTGTAAGCAAAATATATAAATTCCTGCTATTCAGTGCTGTGAAAGTTGAGAGAACAACTTCCTTGACTGGGCAGTGTCCTCCGAAGCAGTTGACACACCCTGAGGCCCAAACCAATAACCCCCATGCTTGGAATGACAAAGGTGGGTGTGTGGGGCGGGCTTCCTGAGTGACAGGAGAGGTGGGGCTAAGTTCAAATCCTGGCAGTGCGTCCTACTGGTCTGTACAAGAACTTCAGAGAAGGGGAGAAGGCCAGTAGCAAGCAGCCTAGTAGAACTCTTCTTGGTCAGTTGAAAAGAAAGCATAAATTATCATCCATCCACTGCCAAATCTATGCCATGTGGACCTCTGTGAATTAAGAAGAATAGTCCACCATGAAATTAAGGCTCAACGGATGATGTTACATTGTGTGAAGCAGCAGAGCAAGTGCAAAGTTGTGAACAAGTACTTCCTGTGGTGGGAGGTAGCCCTTCTGATACAGGAGTGTGAGGATGAGATGTCAAAGCTTAAATAGATACGTGAAGGGTCTCTGGCTAAATCCTCACTTTGCAAGTGCTGGGATCCATGTGGGCCCTGGTTCATGTCCTGGCTGCTCCACTTTGCTTCCAGCCCCCTGCTTGTGGCCTGGGAAAGCAATAAAGGATGGCCCAAAGCCTTGGGACCCTCCTTGCACTCACGTGGGAGACCCGGTAGAAACTCCTGGTTCCTGATTTGGAACAGCTCAGCTCCAGCTATTTTGACCAACTGGGGAGTGAACCAGAAGATGGAAGATCTTTCTCTTTGTCTCTTCTCTCTGTAAATCTGACTTGCCAGTAAAAAATAAAATCCTAAAAATGTAGATGAAAAGACAACAGGAAGACAAAGAATGAACTGGCAGAACCAGAGTAGATAGTGAAAAAAAAGACAGTCATTATCAAATAAAGATCATTTTCTTTTAAAAAAAATACTGAAGGTTTATTGATTGTTTTTATTGGGAGACTATGATGAAGTTACTAGCTCCTGGCTTTGGATTGCTACAGTCCTGATTATTGTGATCATTTGGGGAGTGAGTAGAGGTCTCTCTTTTTTTTGTCTATCTGTATTTGGTTGCTCTGTCATTTAAATAATTCTGTCTTTAAGAATTGTTACAAATTATAGCAAAGTGAAAATTACATAAGGAAAAATACCTGAGGGTGGGTAGGTATGGAAAGTTTTCTCATTGCTCATAATAAGAGGAAATCTTGAAACATGAATGACCAATACAGAGAAATTGGGAATTGAGATGAAATATTTGTCGTGTTACATGACCGTGTGGCCATCGGTGACATGCTGCTTGGTGATTCCGTTGCCCTGTGAGCTTGCAGCCATCTTTGTATGAGTATGAACTTTGATGTTCACATAATGACGGAATTGCCTAATGACACATTTCTCAGAAACACTCCAAGTAAAAACAATATAAATTGGACCAACTCACTTATTAAAACAAAATGACTTTCAGATTGGAGTAACAGTTGAAACTCCGTAAGAGATGTGTCTGAATAGGGACTAGCAAATACTTTCTAAGTATTTGAGGCTTTGTGGCATGCAGTTCTGTTGTGACTACGCTGCTCTGTGTTAGGAAGTCATTGCAAGAATGCAGCCACGGGCAGGATGTAATGAATGAGTGCGGCTGTGTAATAATAAAGCGTTCGCTTACGAAATACAACAAACCTGTAAGTCATAGTTTCCCGGTCTATGGTTTTTGTGTGAGTTTGTTTGAAGTGGTAACTTTTATGTTGTATGTATTATAAACTGTGGTTTAAAACTTAGTGCCTCTGTAAAATTCAGAGCAAAAGTAAGGGGCAAAAACACAATGGGAAACTTCAAAAAGATATTTGTAAAGCAGAGTGATAGACAGTACACCTGTCCAGTGGTTCACTACCCAAATTGCCACAACTGGCAGGTCTGAACCAAGTTGAAGAAATCAAGAGCTTTGTCTGGGTCTCCCACATGAGCGATGGACATCATCTTCTGCCTTCTCAGGGGCTCTAGCAGGGAGCTGGATCAGAAGCAGAGCAGCCAGAATTCCAACCAGTACTCCACTGTGTGATGGAGACATCCCAAACAGTGTCAGCCCACTGTGCCATGTGCTGGCCCTGTTGTGCCGGTTTTTTGAAACCCCCAGATAAGCATCAAGTCTGAAGTCGGTGCTGAGGCAAAAAGGTGGTTTATTCAGGTTAGCCTAGGTAACCCAGCGACCTCCCCCAGCCCAGCATGGCTGGGCGGGGGAGGGGCAGCCGCAGCTGAGGCTGCAAAGATCCACAAGGAGGACAAAAGAAGCGCGAGCCAGAAGAGCCCAGGGAGCCCAAGCCCCCCAGTTCTTAAACATTTCAGGCTATTAATTATACAGTCATGACTTAGTAGGCTTCTATTGGTGTGTTTGAAATAAGCAACTTTCAAAAAGTACAAATTGATAAGCTATTGGGCTGTGAATCTTATCAAACACCAGGTACCTCCTTCCTGAGGAGTGGTCTGCCTACGTGACCTGCCAGGTGTCCTGCCGGGTGTCACGTAGGCTATCAGGCCTGAGGTTCACACAGCCCCCAGCCAAGTCATTAAGGCAGAATCAAAAAAGGCAGAAAACGCCTAGGTTCTTCAGCCCCATGATTGACAGTTTCAAACCATAAAAGCCGATAGTCCAGGGGGCCTTTGCAGTGGTATAATAAGTTAATCCTTGGCCTGCAAGTGCCAGCATTTCAGGCTGCTCTGCTTCTGATTCAGCTCCCTGCTTGAATCCTGGGAAAGTAGACCAAACGGCCAAAAGCCTTGGGAACCTGCGCTTACATGAAAGACCCGAAAGAAGCTTCTGGCTCCTGCCTTGGAATAGGAGCATCTCCCACCACTGTGGCCAATGAGGAGTGAGCCAGCAGATGGAAGGCCTCTCTGTCTCCCCTTCTCTCTGTAGATCTGTCTTTTAAATAAAATTGTAAAAATTCCTTTTTAAAAAAAGTTTCTTTTAAAAAGAAGTGTTTATGTCTGACAAGGTTAAATTTCAGACAAAACTCAGATGCCAGTAACAGCCAAGATTGGGTCTGGGTAAAACCAGGAGCCTGAACATCCATCTGGGTCTCCCATGTGAACAGCAAGAATCCATCTACTGCCCTTTATGGTGAATTATCAGAGGTGGGGCTTAATCCAGCACTCTAATATGAGATGCAGCATCCCAAGCAGCAAGTTGTAACACAGTGCCCACATTGTAATTATAGTAGAGAATTTTGACTAGACTCATCTAACCCCTGACAGAGCAAGCAGATAAAATAAGAAATGACATGACATTAACAATATCATGTACTATATAATAAGCAACATGCCTTAGGAACAATAAATAATGTTTTTTTTTCAAGAGTACCTATTAGGAAGAAAGAAGAAAATCTCAGCCAAATCTAAAAAACAAGAGATTTGTGCAGATTATGCTTCATTCTGATCTGGGATGCAGTGTCCGAGGCAGCATTGCACCACAGGGTCTGTACCTGAATAGGGTCTCAAATCAAATGAGAACTTAAAAAAACAAAATTTAGGGGCTAGTGTTCATCAGAGTAGTAAAGTTACTGCTTGGAATGCCTATGTCCCGTCTGAGTCCCAGTTGCTCTGCTCCCCTGCAGGGCCCTGTTACTGTGCGTGCTAGATGCGGCAGCTGGTGGGTGACTTGGCAGTCTTAGGTAGGTAGATAGGTAGATAGATAGCAACTGCTTTTACTTTATATTATTCAAGAGCATAGTAAAGGGCATTTAAAAAAAATAGTGGAGCAGCTGGGGCACATACTGGCACCTATATTGTATCTTGGTGCTTGGATGCTTGAGCCGTTATGTCAGCCCTAAAATCTGCCTTTCAAAAAAAAAATCTTAGTTTTTAATAAAGAAGGTAAAATACTTCTTAAAGGCAATTCAAATTCTCAACCTCTTTCATTGGAAGACAAATGTAGTAATATTTGTGGTTAATTACTTCCATGTATCCAGTGCCTGCCATGTACTAGGCATGAAACTTGGTGTATTATATACTTCGTATCATTTGATCTTTGGAGCAACCTGATGATAACAGGGCTGCTGTTATTATCCCTGTCTTGCAGGCAAGAAAACTGGTTCTGAGAGGTTAAATGATTTATCCAACGTAGCACAAGCTGATCTTCAGCAATATGGGTGACTTTGGAAGTGAGGGAGAGGGTAGGCTTTACTTGCTCCTCTCACTGAGATTCTAACTTACAAAATAGAAGAGTATAGTGTTAGAGATAATGAGTATTGTGTAATTTCTTCCTTCTTGTTTCTTATCGACTCTCTAAAAGATGCATAACCATTTTTGCCGCCCTACTTTGTGCTAAAATGGGTAACATGTAGCACAGAGCACTTAAAAAAGAGTGGTGTAAATGTGGTCAGGTGACTAGTCTTTGGATTTAAGGTTAGAGTTGGGTAAGACATGGGAAAATAACTTTTTTTTAAAAGCAGGAGTTTGTTCTATTTTGTGTTTAGTAGAAACATTGTTATGAATTGCTAAATACTCCACGAACATACCAAAAAATGTGGACTTTCTGAAGGATATTTAGGCTTACAGTTTATTCCTTTGGCATTGGGTAGGGATTTGAACTCTGAAAATAGGTACGGCATACACGTCAATGATACTATAAAAAGAGCTTCCACCTATCACAGTCATTTGGTGGGACAGTCCTGCAGGTTTGAGAAATAACTTTAATTGAGGGGAGAAGGTAAGTTAATATTTTATATTGACTTATATTTTCCTATTTGACCACATTATTGGGATCTTGGATTGCACTGAAGAATCCATCACATTAGCAAGGGTGATGTCATGGTATTCTATTTCCTGGGAGCTTAGCTTCATGTTATTTCCGTTTGTTAACTAGGCCTTTTGATATTTTCGTAGACAATCTGCTTCATCTTGATTCTGCAGCATTCCAAACTGTGGTATCCTTGGGGTTCTCTTAAGATTGCTATGATGCGGAAGATTTAAAATCAGGTATGACTGTGGGGCCCGAAGTCCCTCAGGGAAATTCTCAATTTAAGTATCCCTCATACTCTGATTTATCATTTGGATTTTTTTTTTGTGGCGTCCTTCTAGCTGATGTTCACAAGGAATAGAGTCACGTGATGTATGAAGGGAAACATATACACTTCTCTGAGGTTGACAATAAGCCCTTGTGCTCATATAGCCCCAAACTGTGCAAGCAGCGGCGACTCAACGGCTACGCTTTCTGTATCAGACACGTTCTGGAGGACAAAACTGCCCCCTTCAAGCAATGTGAATATGTGGCAAAGTATAACAGCCAGCGCTGCACCAACCCCATTCCTAAATCAGAGGATCGTAGGTAAGAGCTAATAACCGCACTCAATCCTGGGTTTAATTTGGTGAGCTTGTACTTGTACCATTTCTGGTCTTTCCATGTCTTTCTAGTGGTGGGTTAATATGTTGAGTTCAGTAAATTTTAGAATGCTTCTAAAGATGAAAAATGGAATTTTTTTACAAAAAATAGTAATAAATTTGGAGAATTATTTGAAAAAAATTGAATGTTTTCTTTTGATGATTTCCTAGACTTAGAAGTGTAGAATTATTTAAAACACACACACATCACCCCTCCCTGCCTCTCATTGTTGTTCCTTGAAGTACTGCTACTGGGTTATTTGGTTTAATGTCTGACTTGTCACCAGCTTAAATGAGAAATATTATAGGAACTAATTAGGTGTTGTGACGGATGATAATACTTTTGAGGGTCTTAAATCTGTCCCTGAACAATAGAGCATCAAATATATTACTTGAATCATTCAGAGGATTGACCAGATTTCTAAGCAACATTTGGCGTTGTTTCATAATCTTGCTTTTTTGATAAAGAATTCCAAAGAGTATGTTTATCATAATTTAGAAACAACAGTCTCACTGTAAGTGTAGGCTATCATTAGAATGATTAATTTATGTTTACGGAATATTATGGAAAAATGTTGATATGTTTTTACATTGGCAATTTGTCATCATATTTCTGGGGGACTTAAGTCTTGGTTCTATAAGCTCATGTCACTCTTTCAAGTCTCCAGAAACCCTGCTGATCATTGCAGGATGTCAAAGAGGTAAATCGTGGTTTTCCAAGTTTCACATACTTGTTAGCTTGAAATAGGAAATGTAAACTTTTACGTCTGTCTTAAAACACATGTAGCCTTCATCATGTTCCTATAAATAAGCGAAATGCTACTTGCATAGTTTGATCGGCAAAGAATTATGTGTTTTGTATGTTATATTAAGCATTTCTAACACTTTTGGTGTGAAATAATTTTGCTGGTAGAGTTCCTACCAAAACGAGTGTAATGTGGTGATTTGGGAATACTCTTAACTTAGAATTTCTAATGAGTACCAAACGCTTCGAATTACAAAGCCTGAAAGTTAACAACAGCTGCTTAGTGAGGCAAGGAATAAAATTTTAATCTCAGGTAAGACTGGACTAGGATAAACATATCTGTCCAGTTGGTGTGAGCAGACCAAAAATGGTAGTGCCTTACCCCTCCCTGTTGTTAACCGTAAGAATGGATGAACGTAGGTGAATTTTCTAGTTCATGCTCCACTGTAAACACACCTCTGGCGTTTTCTCTTGAATTCAGTGTATCACTGCTGCAGTTGTGGACCTTGGGCTTTGAGCATTTGATGCAAAGCAAGGAGTTACCTTAGTAGTTGGCAGCAAGATTGACATGAATTCCGTAATTCTCGAGAATGAATTCTCCATGGTCTGTGTCTTCATCTTTGTGTTCAAAATAGTGTTCCTGTTGCAGAACAAGATGTGAAGGGAAAGGATCTCTGTCTCTCATATCAGAAAGTGTTTTGCCTCCTGAGCACCAAGTTATATATTGTTTTCCACAACTGGTTCATGAGCCTATGGATGAAATGTTATCAATATTTCTGCAGTTATTAGCATTATTTGAAAACAGGTTAAAGTGGCCATTAGGAAGAGGTAGTATTCTTTTGTTACCTCAAGAAATCCAGATTGAATTCATGTACTAGTATGTCTAAACCTGTGCTTAAAGGTTAATAGCTACAACTATACTACATGATGTGTTATAGAGAAGAATAACACCCGTTTGAAAATAAGCTTTCATCATTGTCAGCACTGTTACCTCTGGACCTCTGGATGGGACATAGTTTTAGGTATTGTTTTAGGAAACAAGTTCTCTAAAGCTTTTAATTCACCAAGTTAGAGCTTCTGGTTTCTAACTTACCTGGTGTACATTATAGATACTAATTCATGCATGTCCGCATTTTTAAAATAGAGTAATGTTTAACTCCACGGAAGGTAGTGCTGCTAAAGTTCATTTTTTGGGTACAATTACATGGTGGGGAGATAAGGCTTATCACTGTGCCCTTGTTTCACAGAAATAAGCAGTTTTGTTTGGTTATTTTATATAATATTTTAAATTTATGGTTATATATAATTCACATCTATCTGCCAAGGAATTTTCTTATTCCTTGTACATTTATTCTTTTTCCAAACAGCTTAATTAAGATGACTCACATACCATACAATTTATCCACTTAAAGTATGCATTCACTATTTTTTACCATTCTACATGATTGTACAGCAATCTAATTTTAGGACGTTTTCATTCTCCCAATAGAAACTGTGCCCTCTGGCAGTTGCCCTTCTATATAATTGTCATAATGCAAACTTAATCATATTTGTTTATTGTTTAAGGAGATTTATTTGAAAGAGTTATAGAAGGAGAGCAAGAAGGGAAGAGAGAGAATAAGAATGAATATCTCCCATAAGCTAGTTCATTCTGCAGATGGCTGCAGTGGTCAATGCTGGACCAAACTAAAACCAAGCGCTTCATCTGTATCTCCCACATGGGTGCAGGGTGATGCAACCCCCTGGACCATCTTCTGCTGCTTTCCCAGGCCTTTAGCAGGCTGCTGTATTGGGAGCGGAACAGCTAAGACATGAACTGGCACCTGTGTGGGGTGTCAGTGTCACAGGCAGTGGCCGTACCTAGCCTCTGCTGTTTACTAGCTAAGCAAGCTTTACCCATTCTTGTTAGGAAGTGTTTCTCCTTTTAGAAGGTTTCTGGAGTTGTGATACGTGACCCGGTAACTGGCCTACGGAAGGTTAAGGAGGCCTGCATGTGCAGATTGGCTTCAGCTCTGTTCCTTATGCAGCCTTGTGTTCCAGCGGGCCTAGGCACATGGAAACCGTTTGCTTTTCATTACATTTTTTTCCTGTTTCTGGGGAACTTCCTGGTGAGTGCGATCGTTCCCAATACCCCTTTCCTCATCAGCCACAGCTAAGCTTTGTATATCTACTCTGTTTCATTTTTTGCTTAGTAGTTCATTATAATAAATAAACTTCTCCAACAGCCTTATTTCTTTTTTTTTAAGCTTAATTTATTTTTTTTTAAAAAGCTTTTTTAAAAAATTTAATTAATTACATATTGCATTATGTGATACAGTTTTATAGGCACTGGGATTCCCCCTACCCCTTCCCAAACCCTTGCCCCATGGTGGATTCCTCCACCATGTTGCATAACCACAGTGCAAGTTCAGTTGAGATTCCTTCATTGCCAGCATATACCTAGCATAGAGTCAGGCATCTTAGTGTCCAGATAAGTTCAACGGCTACTTAGGGAGACCTTTTCTGGTCTGAAGGTAGAGCCAGCAGAGTATCATCCTGATCAATTAAAAGCTCCAACATGACATCAGCAACAATTTATAATGTTATGGAATTAATTGACATAGTATTGAGTAACCAATATGTTAAAAATAAATGCAAGATCTTAACCAAATCCTATGACTACTTCATTGACATTTCAATTTTAGTTTATATACAACGGGTTCTATACATCTTAAAATAGCTATAGATTACTGTTCAGCTGTCTTGTGTCTATTTTCATTATAATATTTAGCCTTTTATAGCATTGAAGCATAATTTTGCTGAACCTGGCTATTTCTCGGGTAGTCTAGACTGGCTTATAACTCCAACAAGACATATGTCAAGAGTTTAGTTGCAGAACAGTTTTAGGAGGAGTGTACAGAGAAATCCTCAATGTCCTAGTGAGGAGTAACTAATATTTCACGTCTTCCTCACACCTTCTAGGGTGATGGAAGATTTCTCTGCTCTCCCACCCCGTTACGGAATTACATAGGCAATTAAAAGTATATTAGGTTTTACAATTCTTTGATGTAGATCATAAGCAGTCTGACTCACATTGATTGTTGGTTCGTTGGTTACTTCACGATATCTGATTGCATGTGGGATAGGCTGTTAGAGGTTGAGATAATATTACATTTTATAGGTACCATTTTTCATATTGACATCATTTCATCTTAAATTAAGGCAAACATGTGGTATCTAACCTTTTGGGATTGGCTCATTTCCCTTAGCATTATGGTTTCCAGTTGGGCCCATTTGGCCACAAAGAACTGCATTTTGTTTGTTTTAATAGCTGAGTAGTATTCCATGGAGTAGATGAACCATAGCTTTCTTATCCAGTCTTCTGCTGATGGGCATTTTGGTTGCTTCCATGATTTTGCAATTACTGATTGTGCTGCTATGAACATAGGGGTGCATGTTGGTTTCTTGTGTAACAGGTGTTTTGGATATATTCCTAGGAGTGCTATTGCTGGATCATATGGTATGCAGATTTTGAGTTGTTTGAGTGTTCTCCATACTGATTTCCATAGAGGCCAACAGCCTTATTTCTGAAGAAGCCAGCAAAATTCCTCCCTGTCGTTTTCTCTCTTATGGGTGTGCATAAAGCATACGTAACATGCTTCAAGATTATGTTGTAAGACATTTGTGAATCTACATATATTTGTTTCCCCTTAAGAGAGTTCTATGTGATCCTTCAGACTCTCGATGTGTCACTTTGTGTGCTATCAAAGAGGCTGACAGACCACAGGAGCGGCAGTAGCTGAGCCTCTGATCAGGGTCTCTCACCAGCTCAGGACTTGATGCTGTTGTCCATGACCGCAATTGTGCAGCTCCCAGTAACCCTGAGGTGGTTAGTTGAGATGCTGAGGGGCAGTTGTATATTTGGGTATACACCATCTTTAACATAGTTAGAATTTGCATTTTATAACATGTAGTTTTATATTCTACTTTTCCTGATATGTATCATGAACATTTCCCCTGTGTGTGTTTTTAAAGGTACTGCAACAGCCACTTGCAGGTACTTGGCTTTATCCCGAAAAAAGAGAGGAAGAAAAAGAATGATCCTATAGATGAGGTGAAGGTCAGGCACCAGATGGATACGATGGCCTTTAGCCTGACAGTGCCCACGCTGGCCCTGAAGATGCCCAACGGACTGGATGGAATGTCCCTCTCTCCACCTGGGGCCAGGGTCCCCCTCCATTACCTGGACACTGAGTTGGAAGACCCTTTTGCTTTCAACGAGGAAGATGATGACCTAAAGAAAGGGGCAACAGTGAGAAAGAAGTTGCAGAGCAAGTTGGCCCAGAATCGGCAGCGCCAGAGAGAGACCGAGATTTTGAAAGTTCGGCAAGAGCACTTTAGTCCCCCACCTGCACCTTCACAGCAGCAGCCTCCGCAGCAGCACTCCCACCTGTCACCTTTATCCACTTCTTTGAAACCTCCAGCGCCACCGCAGGGTTCAGTCTGCAAGTCACCTCAACCTCAGAACACCAGCCTACCAGTGCAGGGAGTGGCACCCACCACACACACTATAGCACAAACAAGGCAGTTGTCTCACAAGAGGCCTCTGCCCATCCTGCCATCCAGTAGGGCTCCCCTTGTGGACCCACCCAGGACTGACCGGGTCCTCATGAAAGCCACAGCCTTCACTCCACACTTCTCTTGTATAAGTCGACTGCAGAGACTGGTGAAACTGTGCACACAAAAACATCAGTTGGACACTGATCTCTTTCCCCACTTAGGTGAGTTACCTATTATGCCAAATCACACGTGTACAATACAATGAAATGCATTCAGGCACCTGAGGCTTTCCTCCCCTGGCTGCCACCTATGTGCTGGGGGCAGAAGAAACTTTAACTGAGTGGTGCAACAAAAGGTACCGCATTTAGGAAGCACACCATGAAGTGAGTGTGCTAGTGGAGAGAATAACATCTGCAAATAGAAGACAGAAATAGGAATTGAATAAAGCGGTCATACTTTGTTAGCAATAAAAGCAAAGTTAAAGGCAGTTTGATGGCACGCCCCTGCTGTCTAGTACCTGTGTGTCAGGGAGTTTGCCATGTGTCTTGTAGGAACTCGGGATGGTGGACAGTGTGGTTCCTGTCTCCTGGCAGGTGTGCTTTGTAACACTTCCCATCTTAAAAGTTCCCAAGGCGATACCTGTTGGTGATTTAAAAGTGAAACAAATATAGTTAAAAATGTGGCCAAATGTAATTTCTGTTTCTTCTGGATCCTCCATTTATTCAGGTTTTCTATATTTACTGTTATTTTTTTTGGGGGGGGATTGTTTTGTTTTTAAACTGTTAGTTTTTGGGGGTTTATTCTTAACTGTGGTACTAATTCTAACTTGAGCAAGAGTTATTATATAGCATGAAAATATGAAACGAGATCAATGGATATGAATAGCAGAAATAAATAAGTTGTCACTAAGTTGCTGAAAACCTCAATCTGCAAGGCAGGTGAAGAAAGAAATATTAAAAACAACTGGGAATTGCCAGGTGGACAAAAATTATATTCAGTGTTGGTAAAGATATGGTATCTGATAGTAATGCAGCAATAACTATTCATTAGATATTGCCAGCAAATTCACATTATGGACCCATCATGCAGATAAATATTGAAATGTAAGAATATGTGTGCAAGTATAATTATTGCAACAATACTTGCAGCATTTGAAATCTGTAAGCAACTTGCATGAGAGGACATCTGAAGTAAATTATGCTACTACATGTGTGGTTTATGAAGTATCATAGTTAGTAAAAAGAATGGGTGGAGATTGTGGCCCTTGATCGCACTGTGCCCATAATATATTAACAGGTAGAAAGCACTAAAAGGAATTGTATTTAGTTCATTTTGATAAGAATGAGTGAGCAAAGTAGATAAACCAGCAAGAGATATCAGCATATTGATTAAATATGTGAATAGATGTTTGCCTCCTTGGGGTGAGCATAGATACCAGGGTCAACGGAGACACACTCCCAGCTTGTGAGCGCTGACTACCATGGGGAGGGCGGACACAGACAGGCTGTGTTTGATGAGAGGGGGGAGTGGTGTCTTTTTAAGTATAATCTTATGTGAATGGGTCTACCTGTTGCTAAACTGCTTATGACTTGGGATAATAGCAAAAACTTAAGGAAACAGGTAAGCAAAAATAATAAATTGCCAACATCCCCAATCCCACTGTTACCCATTTTTGATACCTGGATATAACCTTTCAGTTTTCTAAAGTTAGGTTCTTTCTCTATTTACTATTTTTTAATTTTTCATAATGTGTTTTGACATTAATTTTTCACATATCGTTTGTTATGGCTAAATTCTGTCTTCAATTTAAGTCATTCCCAGATTATATCATTGTGAACTGCGTACATATGCATCCTTGAGCCAAGTAATTACTCTCACCTCTGTGATTTGCCCTTCAAGTAGATCCCCCACCTTTTTTTTCTTCTTAAGATTTACTTATTTTTATTGGAAAGATAGATTTCCGGAGAGAAGGAGAGACAGAAGTAAAGATCTCCCATCCATTGGTTCACTCACCAAGTGGCCACAACAGCCAAAGTAAGAGCCTGCTTGAGGCCAGGAGCCAGGAACTTTCTTAGTCTCCCACGTGAGTGCAGGGTCCCAAGACTCTGGGCCATTTACTGCTTTTCCAGGACATGAACTAGCATCCATATATCATCCTGGTGCATGCAAGGTGTGGATTTAGCCACTGAGCCATCATGCCAGACCCCAAACAGATTTCTGGAAGTAGAATTACCAATTCCAAGCCTGTGCAGGTTTTGTTTGTTTGTTTAAGATTTTGTTTGATTATTTGAAATTCAGACTTAGAAAGAAGAAAAACAGACAGATGTTTCATCTGCTGGTCTACACATACCACAGAAGCCAGGGTTGGGTCGGGTCAGAGTCAGGTGTTTCATCTGTATCTCCCACATGAGTTCAGGGATCCAAGCACTTGGGTCATCCTTTGGTGCTTTCCTTGGCACATATCAGGAAGCTGGACTGCAAGTGGAGCAGCCAGGATGGCTGTGCTACAGACAGTGGATTAATAGGCTATACTGCAGCCATAGCCCATCCCTTTTTTCTTTCTTTAAGTTTTTGACATTTTGCCAACTTTTTCTTTAGTATTGTTTTGTCGACTTTCCCTTCTGTTTAGTAGTAGGTCTGGATGACATTTTCCCCTATGTCTTTACCAGCCCTGGTTATTGTTGTTATCATTGCCTTTGCAAATTTGATAGAAATTCTGCTTTAATTTATGTATAATTGATCAATGTTTCCCAAAATTCTGGCCTTAGAAATCTTTAAGAATTTTTGAGGATACCATGGGGTTTTTGTATATGATATTGATATCTACTGTGTTAGAAGTTAAAAGGCAAACTTAGAATATATTATTAATTTCAACAGAACCAATAAGTTTGTTATGTGTTAACATTTTCTAATGTTATGAAATGTAATGAAAAACAGCATTGTTTTCCATTGCTTTGCAAATCTCAATATCTGGCTTTGTAAAATAACTAGATTCTCACATCTGCTTCTACATACGGGCAGTTGTTACATTAGTTTTAGTTAGTAGGGTGGAAATACAGCTTACACATATATATTGTATTTTGTTTGAAAAGCAGAGTTAAAGAGAGTGACAGACAGAGGTCTGTCATATTCTAGTTTATTCTTCAAATGATTACAACTGCTGGTTAGGCCAGGCCAAAACTAGGAGCCTAGAGCTCTGTGGGAACATGGGTGTGGGGGCCCAAGCACTTGGGTATCTAATGCTTTCCCAGGAGCATTAGCAAGGAGCTGCATCAAAAAATGTAGCAGCTGAACCCAAACCACATGTTATGGGGTCATTGCAGGTAGTAGCTTTCCTGCCTATACTGCAATACTGGCTCCAACACATTTCATTATACAAAGTTAGAACATCAAATTCATTAATGTTACTTCAACTCTCATAAGTCTCCAGGGGCTTGTGTTACAGTGTGTTCAGCCACCTCCTGCAATGCCCTGTATGGGGAATGGTTCAAATCCTAGCTGTTCATTTCCAGTCTAGCTCCCTGATAATGTGCCCAGCCCTGGTTGCTGGAGCCATTTGGGGAATATACTCGTGGATGGAAGTTTTCTTTCTCTATGCCTTTCAAATAAATAAATACATAAACAAACAAAATTTTAAAACATAGAAAAGTCTTTAGGAAGTTGTCAAGCTCTCAGTGATGAATGAATTCAAGTTTTCTAAAACCTAAACTTTAAAGTGAAATTCTGAAATTTTTTTCATTGGCAGCTGCGCAGCCTTCATTTCAGGAAAATTGACAAATTACCAAAGGCAATGTTTGAGATAAAGTGATGTGGAACAACTTGTTCAGTTCCAATAGAAACAAGCGTTGTGCTTTCCAGTTTGAGTGCATGTGAGTGCACAGGCAACCTTGCATTTGGTTCACTTCCCACATGCCTGCAATGATTGGGCCAAAACTGAAGCCGAGACCTAGTAAACCTGTTTAGACCTCCCATGTGGCAGGGAACCAAATATCTGGACCATCACTGCTGCCTTAGTGGGTGGCTGAAGCATGCTGTTGAACCCAATAAGATGCAGCATCTTAAATACTGAGCCAAAGACACTGCAAGAAAACCATTAAGTTTCTCATAAGCAGCACTTTATACATATTTAGTCAGACTTTTATAGGTTCAAGGATTGGAGATAGAATAAAATAAGCTATCTTTCCTAAATGAATACTTCTTAAATAAAACGTAGTTGGAAAGATGTGGTATGAAGATGCTATAGTTCTACCCATCAATGCTTCTTTTGTTTTGAGAGAGAGAAATACCCAAAGTAGCCATGGACCAAAACCAGGAACACAGGAAGTCAAACCAGCTCTCTTCTTAGGTGAAAGCAGGAACCCGGCCATTAAAACCCCCATTACTTCCTCCTATAGTCTGCACTCATAGCAATCTCAAATCAGGAGTCAAAGCTGGAGCTAGAGTTGGGTATCACACCTGTGCCAGGGTGGAATGTGGGTTTGCTAATTGGCAACTTAACTGCCGGGCCAAACACCTGCCCCCAACCATTGCTTTTGTACCATCTGTATAAATGTCAAAGCAGTATAAAAGGTAAATAATGTCTGTCTTAGTATCATTTGAAAATTATATTGATCTGAAGAGTCCTTGAAACTGTTTCGGGAACCTCTAAAGAACCATGGACCATACATTGGAACCTGCAGTTTTGGATTAATAATGTAGTTGAATGCTTGTTCATATGGTTTTTAGTCATTGTTCTTACGTTTGCCTTTTTACTTCTTCCATCTTTATTGAAATGTTTCTCTTCTGCATCGATTTATAAGAGCTTTGTATACATATTTCTTTTTTTAAAAGATCTGTTTATTTGGAAGATTGACAGGGAGACACAAAAAGAAAAAAGAACTTCCATCTGCTGGTTCACTTCCCCAAATGGCTGCAACAGTTGGGGCTGAGCTAGGTTGAAGCCAGGAGCCGTAAATGCCCCAGTCTTCCACATGGATAGCAGGTGCCTAAGCACTTGGGCCATCTCTGTGTTCCAGGTGGGATAGCAGGAAGAATGCAGGACCAGCCAGGAAGCAGAACACTCCCCTGTGACTTGCTTGCATTACAAGTGGTGTGTTAACCCTGCCGGGCCACTTGCTGAGCCCAAACATATTTCTTGTTTGCTGCAAAACCTCTTCTACTTCTTACCTGAATGCTTTCAAATGTTTATCCTAATGATTTTGGAGTTTTGAAATTATATATATATAATCTAATTATACATATATAATATATATGTATATTTTTAGGATTTTCTATGAGACAAGCTTTTGTTTCATTTTTAAAGTTGTAATTATTAAGAATATATATATATAGTTACATTAAAATTTTTTTCTTCATTCACATTTTAGTCATATATCTGGAACTCGTGTTTTTGAAATGGAGTATTAGCTTTATTTCTTTTTGCAAATATTTGCCTCTAATTCCAATCCTTATGTATATCTTCTGCCAGATTTTTATGATTTCAGTCATTTTGAATGTTGATAAATCTACAACCTTTGAAACCATGAAGTTTTATGTTATGCTGAGGCTAATTTTGATCATTTTTGAGCAAAAACTTAGATATTTTAAAAGTCTAAGCATATTGGAAGCTTGAGATTTTCCAAAAAAACATTCTTTTAGGGAAGCTAGGGAGTGTAATTCACTCTTATAACCAAGCACAATCTGCATCCATGGTCAGCAAAGGATAAGTAAAGACTTATCCTCGTAATTCGCTTTTACAACTGTGTCTGGGCTGGTTCTGTCAGCTAGTTACAGTAAAACTAGTGATAATGAACCCAAGATCAAAGGTTTGTTTTATTGGACAGTGAATATCACAACAAGAGAAACACTTCATCTTTGTTCTTGTAACTCAGAGAAAGTGAAACTGCCTTATAGAAGTCATTATTGAAATGGTTAAGACATGGGTTATGTTCTAATTTTTAAAGGTACTTCAAATTACTTTAAAGGACATCACATTTCAGTGCACTGCAGTTGATACTGTTGTGGTTGCTTTGTTTTTAAATTAATATTTCTTTTAATGACAAGTTTTAAATTATTTATTTATTTGAAAAGTAGAGTGAGAAACAATGACAGGTGAAGGCACTGCCAGCTGCTGGTCAGTGCCCCAAGTGCGGACAATAGTGGCACTTTATCTTGGTCTCCCTTGTGGGTGGCAGGTACCCAGTCACGTGAGCCATTGCTTCTGTCTCCCTGCATGCTCAAAGAAAAAGCAGGAATCTGGATAAGTGTAGCAGGGACTCAGATCCAGGTGTCCAATAGGGTTCACAGGCCTCCTGAGCACGCCGTCTCCACCTGTGCCAAATGCCTGCCACTGTTAATTATTCTAGCTAAGCAAAATTAATTTACTAAAAAAAAGCACACTTTCTTTGTTTGAAAGGTAGAGGTACAGAATACAGAATGAGAGAGAATGAAAATCTTCCATCTGTTAATTCACTGCCCAAACGGCTACAGCAGCTGGAGCTGAGCCCATCAGGAGCTTCCTGTGGGTCTCCCATGTGGGTGCAGCAGCCCAAGGACTTGATCCATCGTCTGCTGCTTTCCCAGGTCATGTGCAGGGAGATGGATGGGAAGTGAAACAGCCAGGACACAAACCAGCACCCATATGTCAGATCTGAAGGGTGGAGGATTAGCCTATTGAGCCACAGCATCAGCCTCAGGGATTTATGACACAGTTTAATAGGCACTGGGTCTCCCTTCCACTCCCCAAGTTCCTTCCCCTCCCCACTGATCTCCCAGTGATTTACTTTTTAAGATGGCTTGACATTTTAGGTGGTCATCTTGAAACCACATCTGGTTTTCATTCTGTGAGTGATAAATGTATTACTTAACTTTAAACACTTGTTGTTTGCATTTTAATGTTTTTATAGTTTGTCCATTGGACACATGTAAATGCATTTAAGCTATAGAAGAAATCCATGCACGCCTTTTTAACTGGGTGTAGGTTCTTCTTAACATAAGTGTGTAATGAGAATGATCTTTTGCCATTTTTTCCCAGTTTTATTTATTCTCTATTATTTACTTGAAAGGCAGAGTTTCAGAAGGAGGTAGGAGGACAGAGAAAAAAGAGAGAGGGAGAAGGAAAGAGAGAGAGAACTTCCATGTGCAAATTCACTCCTGAAATGACTGCAACAACTAGGACTGGGCCAGGCCAAAGTCCAAAGCCTGGACCTCCGTGTGACCACCCTGGAAGTCTCCCATGAGGCTGGCAGAGACCCAACCACTTGGCCATCTTGTGTTTCCTTTCGAGGTGTGTTGGAAGAGACTAGATGGGCGGTGGAATAGCTAGAACTCTACGTGGTAGTGGCTCAACCTTCTCATCTTGCTGGCCCCAGGAAAACAATTTAAATATAAAGACACACGATGGGGATTTAAAGTCATTTTGGATCAAAGGAGAATATATTTCATTTGCATAGGTGAAAAAAGTTCAAGAGTTCTGTTGTACAACATGGTGCCAATAATGATATTTTGCTACTTGAGAAATTCTCCCTTTTTTCACTGCCTGATTTCTATCCTTTCCCTTGCGCTCTTCGTACCCTATTAGTAAAGTCTGTAACCAGGGGTTCATCCTCAGACCACAGCATAGCTGTTTCATTAGTCATCTGGTCTGAACCTGAGTGGATTCCATATTTTCCTTATTAATGTCTCTGTAAGAACAGAAATGAGACTCATCAGGAAACCTTTACCCACACTCTGGTAGCAGTTGGCAGTTGGTGTTGAGTTGTATTATTTTGGATGATCTTATTTCTTCCATGTTTTAAAAGCGGGATTTTGTTTTCTAACTTGGCAATGTCTTGTCCATCACAGGATTGGACTGGTCTGAAGAGAGCGGAGAGGAGCTGGAGGACTCCGAGCAGGCCTCACCCTACCAGGTTGCATGGTCCATCCGAGAAACCCTCAGATATGAAAGACACATGTAAGTCATCTCTTTAAATTTCTCTTCTTAAATGAACACTGTAGCTAAGTGAAGTTTTTCCTTGCTATCCCTAATTTTGTTCTCTCGGATCAAGTTTTATTGTGGTGGAGAAAAAGTGGATACTCTTGTGTTTTGTGGTAAATCTATTGCCATACTTTTGCCTTTTATCACTGAGGGAGCCAGTTGTAATTGAAATAAGAATTGAGGGGGACCTGGAACAATTTCTTTGTTTACAGAAAGGAAAGCGAGGCCCAGCCCAGGCAGATTAATGAATGTGCCCGTGTCCACTAGAGAGCGGTGTCTGCCGTGATCTATCCCCAGCGCCTTACATTGCCTCTCCAATCCTAAATATGCCTTCAGAATGAGTGTTTTCCTCAGGTGTGCAAACAGTGATACTGGGAAGACTTTGCTTTGGCATTGTAGGGACTCACTTGGTGCAGTGAGCCTGTGTCATCAGACAGCCAGTGATGCCTTACACACTCGGCTAATGATTTACTTAAAATATTGTGGTTGAAATAGAAGTTCAGCAAGATAAAAGGAGGACCATCTGTCTGCCCCAGAGAGATTCCCATTCATTCATTTTTGCTATATATTTTACAAATAGGCTATGGTTTTTTATTTTCTGTAGTTAAAAATTTGATTTGTTATTGTATTCATAGGTAATTAGGCTTAGGGGACTTACTCATTTGAAACTACTCTATAAACCAGAATGTCAATTTATAGTAAGAAATCCACTCATCAAGTAGTATAAATGGTCACTGCATAGAATTACATAAGAAGCAAATGATAGAGCTTATTTGGGCATGGAATTGAAATAAGGAGTTTTATGAATGACCAGTGTCATTAAATTTTAATACTCTGATACATCTGCTTCTGTGTTGGGGATTTATTTCCTTTCCAGCTATCCTTGCCTCACTTATTTCCTAAATAATTTTGAAGAATACTGCTGTATTTTTTCTTGATGTTCCCATTTATATATATGATTTATATGTATGATTTAACACTGTTTCTTTATCATTCATGTGTTCCTTATTTCAGATGGAGTACAGTAGAGATAATAGGATTAAGGTTTTTTTTTTAATTAAAAAATTTCATTTACTTATTTATATGTACTTGAAAGGCAGAAAGACTGAGACACATGGAAATATTCTCTATCTCTAAACAACCATAGCAGCCAAGGCTGGGCCAGATCGGAGCCAGGAACCAGAAATTCAATTCTGGTCTTCCACTCGGGTGGCAGGAGCCCAAGTCCTTAACCATCCTCTGCTGCCTCCCAGGATGCTCTAGCAGGAAGCTGGATCAGGAATAGAGTAGGTAGAGCTGGAACTCGTAGAACTGTCCTCCAGTACAGGACGTGGGCGTCCCAAGCAGTGACCCAAATGTTTTTCCAAATGCCCACCTCCTTCTTATGGAAGGTTCTGCACGCTTATATTCCAGAGTCCATTGCATTTCACAAGAAAAACAATCATTATGTTCATAGTTGAAGAACATTTTCATGCTTAACTAGGATTTGGCTTAAATGTTTGGAAGGTCTGGCTTTGTTTCTGAGGTTTCCTGACTGCTCCATCTGGTTGCGTGTAGATAATCACTGCCTTGGCCAGTGTCTTGCAATTGTCCCCTGTGTTTTCCTCGAGTAATTTGATGGTTTCAAGGCTTGGATGTAGCTCCCTGATCCCTCTTTTTGTAATTTTAAAGGTAGTACCTAATTTAACTTGAAATCTTCCTTTTCATATAGACGCTTGCCTGTACCTTTAAGTACAGATTTTAAGTAACCCCAGTGTTGGTAAGATATTTTCATTCACTGCAGATTGCTTGTAAGCCTTGTTTATTCCTTGCTTATATTGTGGGTAATTTAGAAGTGATTTAGTATCTTTCTTTTTTGGGGGGGGGAGGGATTTTGCTGGCTAATTTCAATTCTGTTGATACCAGAAACAACCTTTGAACGTTGTGCTCTGTAAAAATTAGATGATTGGTTCATTCCAAAATACCCAAGAAAATCACTGCCTGAGGCCAAAGCCAGGAACCTGGATTTCAGTCTCAGTCTCCATGTGACAGAAATCCAGTCACTTGAGCCATCACCTCTGCCTCCCAGGAAACTGGAAATTGGATTAAGATGTCAAAGATAGAGCTAAATGCCAGGTTCCTTTAGACCACTTAAGTTAAATTTAATTATTGGGCTTACTATATTTAAATCTAATACCTTTTATTTGTGTCTGTGTGTATGTGTTTTCCCTTTTAAACTATTTATTTGTTTATCTATTCACTTGTAAAGCAATGAGAAAGAGATCGATAACTTCGATCCACTGATTCACTCTCCAAATGCTCGTACTGGCTGCGATTGGGGCAGATCAAAGCCTGGAGCCTGGAACTCTATCCTGGTCTCCCACCTGAGTAACAAGATCTCAAAGACTTGGATAATCTTATATTGCCTTCACAGGCACATTAGTAGGCAGCTGTATTGCAAGTGGAACAGCCAAGATTCAAACCAGTGCTCACAAGGGATATGAACATTGCAGACAATGGTTTAACCTGATGTGCACAATATGGGATCCTTGTATTTTTAAATTTTTTGGGGGGGCCTGGCGCGGTGGCACAGTGGTTAAGGTCCTCGCCTTGCACGCCCCAGGATCCCATATGGGCGCCGGTTCTATCCCGGTGGCCCCGCTTCCCTTCCAGCTCCCTACCTGTGGCCCAGAAAAGCAGTCGAGGACGGCCCAAAGCTTTGGGACCCTGCACCCGCGTGGGAGACCTGGAAGAGGCTTCTGGCTTCGGATTGGCATAGCATCGGCCCGTTGCGCTCACTTGGGGAGTGAATCATCGGATGGAAGATCTTCCTTTCTGTCTCTCCTCTCTGTATAGCCGCCTTTCCAATAAAAAAAATAATAAAAATAAATCTTTAAAAAATTTTTTTTTAAGATTTATTTCTTTTTATTGGAAAGTCAGATACACAGAGAGAAGGAGAGACAGAGAGGAAGATCTTCCTTCTGATGATTCACTTCCCAAGCAGCTGCAACAGCTGGAACTGAGTCGATCAAAAGGCAGCAGCCAGGAGCTTCTTCCAGGTCTCCCTCACAGGTGCAGGGTCCCAAGGCTTTGGGCCATCTCGACTGCTTTCCAGGCCATAAGCAGGGAGCTGGATGGGAAGTGGGGCCACTGGGATTGGAACCAGCTTCAATTTGGGATCCTGGCACATCAAGGTGAGGACTTTAGCCACTAGGCCATCACACCATTCCCTAACTAAATTTTTAAAAAGATTTAATTTTTTTTGGAAAGTCAAATTTCCAGGGAAAAGGAAAGACAGAGAGAAAGATCTGCTGTGCATTAATTCACTCTCCAAATGGCCACAATGGCCAGAGCTGAGCTGATCCAAAGCCAGAAGCCACCTCTGGGTCTCCCACATGAGTGCAGGATCCCAAGGCTTTGGACTGTCCTCTACTGCTTTCTCAGGCTACAAGCAGGGAGCTGGATGGGAAGTGGAGCAGCTGGGACATGAACTCGTTTCCATATGGGATCCTGGTGCTTGAATAGCCAGTTGAGCCAATCGCCAGCCCAACTAATTATTTTTTATGATTCTATTTTATCTCCTTCATTGACTCATTAATATTTCTTTTCTTCTTTGTGTAGTAACTATTCTCTTGTTTTATAGTATACTTTTTTCTTTTAAAGAGTTTTTTTATTACTTTGAAAGACAAATCTTCCTTCTGTTGTTTGACATTTAAGGAAATGACTCAAATAGGCAGCACTGGGCCAGGCCAAGGCCTGGAATTCGGGCTGCATCTGGGTCTCCCCCAAGGGTGGCAGGCCGTCTGAGCCATCTTCAGCCACCTAGTATAGTGCTTATTATCAGGAAGGCTAAACTGGGAGCAATGCTGGGACTTGAACTCAAAACTGTGATATGGCATAGAAACATCTCAAACAGAGCCAACTACTGTGCCAAACACCCAGCACAAATGTATCAGTTTGTTTTCCGTAGTCTGTCTTCGGGTGTTAAGTGACCTCTTGTAAGAAGAACCTTGCATCAATGTATTTTCACTTCTGCTCATTTTACTTACCTATTTGACAGTCTTTACTCATTGTGTTATGGAGACATTTATATCTGCACTTATTATTTTTAATTCTGAGGTTTCACTTTTTTTCTCTTTATCTTTTTCCCTTACATTTATTATTCATTTTATTTGGAAGGCAGAGAGAAAGAAATCTTTCCTCTGCTAGTTCATTGTTGAAATACTAACAGCAGCCGGGCGTGGGCAGGCTGAAGCCAGGAGCCTGAAACTCTCCCATGTCTTTGGGCCATCACCTGCTGTTTCCCAAGGTGTGCGTGCAGAGGAAGCTGCTGTCCTAAGTAACATCTTAACCACTGTCACAAACACCAGGCCTTAATCCATCTATAAGTGTGTGATAAAATTTACTAGTTCTGGTTCTGAGCTTTTCTTTGTAGGGAAGGTTTTTTGAAGTTAATTTAGTCTTGATAGCTGTGTTTTTACTTTGTTTTGTTTTTAAGATTTTTACTTTTTCTTGAATCAGATTTAGAAGGTTTTGTCACACTAGGAACTTGTCTGTTCCGTCTTTGGTATCTAATACAATAGAATACAAATTTCGTAGTATTCTCTTATAATCTTCTTATTCCCTTTAAGATTATAGATAGCATCTACTCTTTTTTTTATATACTTCTTTTTATTATTATCATTTTATGATACAGTTCTATAGGCCCTATGATTTCCCTTATCCCCTCCCCAATTCCTTCCCCACTCACTGAGTTCCCCTATAACATTACTATAATATAGTTCTTCTTACACAGTCATATGTCCGTCATTGTGGGCATGGACATTGGCAAGACGCAGTATACAGTTTCATTAGGAATCTGTCTTTGTCTGGAAGTAGAGATGCATACTGCATTGTATCCCCACATCTGAATATGATAGTCTCCATTACATAGTTACTATACATCTCCTTAAATGAAAAGCCACAATACAAAATCAACAACAGGAAAAAAAATATAT